GTGATTTTGTGAAACTGCAGAAGTTGCTGTACTGTTTGATTTTTGCACAACTTGCCTGCAATAGCTTCAGTCCTTTGCTTGCACCATTAGACCAGAATAATGAGTGCTATAGATATTTATATAATCTTAATATAGTAGTCCATAACTATTCCATGCTCCCAAAGTATTTCTATTTCTCAGCAATTTAGAAACCTTTTTTTTTCTCTTTTTTTTTTTTTCCTGGGGAGGGGAGTGATAACAAGTTATAATATTCCTCTGTAGTTGAAATACTTGATTATACCAGGCTTACCTTATGGGAAGAGGGAGAGAGAGAAGGGATAAATGAAGTAGAAAATTGTAAAATCAGGAAGTATGATGTGAGCAATTTGTTTCCTTTCTTCTGTCCAGGCTGAAACTTTCTCCTAGTCCATCTTCTCGAGTGACAGTTTCAAGGGCTTCATCAAGCCGCAGTGTACGTACAACCAGAGGAAAGAGGAAGAGGATCGATGTGGAAGAATCTGAAGCCAGCAGTAGTGTCAGCATTTCCCATTCAGCTTCTGCCACAGGAAATGTCTGTATTGAAGAGATAGATGTTGATGGAAAGTTCATCCGTTTGAAGAACACTTCTGACCAGGTTTGAAAATGAACACATGGCACAGCTTTTCACTGGGCTTATTGAAATTTGAAGACAACCTTACCACCATCTGAGGGTTCATGTTGACACCCTAGGTTCATATTTATACAGCTAAAGCATGCTGCATAAAAGTGGCAGCCCTGAGGTTTTGAGTTAGTAAATACCAAAGTGCTTTCAAACAGCCGTTTGGGTGATGGTGACTACTTCCAGATGATTTTTAATGCTCTTCATGGCAAAATTTAATGTTTAGATTTCACATCTACTGAACTAATAAAGCACTGCTCAGAATTGTGCCTTGCACATAGTCTGGCTTAACACTGTCAGTGATGGGAAACAGTGAAAGCAGACATAGACTGCCATGGAAGTCTTTTCAGAAGTTTGTCTCTGCCTAAAAAGGGCTGGAAAGAAAAGCATGCTTGATGAAGTATTAGGGTCAACATTATAATTGCCAGGTTCCTCCTATTTGTATATAGTTTCTCTAAATCATCATTTTTCCTTGGTTGCATAAATACTGTGGCTTTTTCTTAAAGAAAGAGCCTTCAGATCCATGCCACCTTTTCACAGGCTAGTTAGATGATTTCTCTCTAGGTAGCATCTAGTTCTTCTGTTAAGCAACTCTATGAACAGGATTTTTCTGAATTGCTTGGAGTTTATCTTGAGGAGGAAGGGTAGGTTGCATCTCTGCTCATRAATGGTATTTTGTATGAGTAATAGTTCAAATGTTTTTCTTTTTCTCAGAAGAAAAAATCATTGTATTCAATATTTTTTCCTCTCAAGATGTTGTGTAATATCTGTACAGTGTTTCTATGCTATATATAGATCAAATCATTACCAGGTGCAGATGGAGACTGAGCGCTAAACTTTCTTAAATATCTTTAGGAGCAGAGGAAACTCTGTATTTTTCTTAGTCAGACATCAGAATTACAAGACCGGATTTCTTACATACTCTATTGCAGAAAAGGGATGAATAGGTCTTGTCATGACCTGTGCTCTCTGCAGCAAAACTATTCAGTAATGCATACTCCGCATTCTCTGCTTTCAGTGACACACAAACTTTGTCTAATGCAGACAGATCCATTAGCTTTGCTAAAAGAGAGCTCCTTGTGGTGTTTTAAAAGACAAAAATTGGTCTAATTCTAAATGTCCCAGTTCCTTTCATCAAAAGGGAGGCAAACTCCTGCAAATGCTGATACATCCTCACAGGCGTCTTAATTGCTTGTTCAAGGTAAAGCTTGTCGCCTGGGAGTGTTTGTTGGATGAATGGAAGAAACTTTGGGAGCTGTCCTGGTCTAGGTCCAGTCTGTCCCTGGTCAGGGAATTTTTAGGAAGCTGAAGTCTGACAAATCAGAGCCTTCTTCTAGTGAGTCGGGACCTATCAATTTATCCGTTTGGAGTTTTGCAGTGGTTTTCCCTTTTCTTGTGTCTCCTAGGGTTTGTTTCCTCGATTGTTCTGTGAGCTGTGGTGAGTGCGCCAGGAGCTCAGTTACTGTCAGGAGCCCAGGGTGGTTCTGGGTTAGGATGCTTGGGAAGGGTCCAAAGTTGAGCAACTGTCTCTAGTGCAGTATAGTAAGTGATGCTCAAAGTGTTTAATATGTAGACATAGAAAACGAGTAAATTCATCTTTTAATGAAAGTATTATTTTGTTGCAGTGACCAATGGAATGTCACCACCTGTTAAAATAAATTACAGTTTATTTTAGGTGTTTTAAGTGTCTTTTCTTAGATCCCAGAGGCGACTATCTGATGATTGAAAAATAATTGAGGAGCGGGCAGGGATAAGAGGTCTCTAAAAATGATAGTAATATCTAGCTTATATATTTTTACATATAGATGTAAGAATATAGTAAATAGATAATTTATATGAATATTTATAAATAATAAATAGCATGCAGTACTATATATATGTACATAAAGACTTTCTGTGGTACCTATGTGCATATCTGATAGATCAGCCTGTGACAAAATTATGATGTAAATCATAAACATTACTTAAAATCTATTTCACAAATATTCATCTTTAATTTGAAGTGAAAGGTAAGATCAAATTAACTAAAAAATAGTTATTGACATGCTGAAGATAAAGTGGTAGTAAATGTTTTTACTGAAACTATATTTTTGTATTTTTCACTGAAAAAATCTCATAAATGTAATGGAAGATAACAGCTGGTGTAAATTGTTTCTTTTTTCTCCATTTTTATTAGGATCAACCTATGGGAGGTTGGGAGATGATCAGAAAAATAGGAGACACTTCTGCTATTTACAAATATACCTCAAGATATGTGCTAAAAGCAGGACAGACAGTTACAGTAAGTTTCAGTTGTTCATGCGAGACAGACTTTAGAACAGTTTGTGTAAATAAGAACCATGGTTTTTAGTTTTGCGCTTTTCATGTAAATGTTCTGAAAATAAACTCTTGTGTTGTATTGAAGCTCTTGTATCAAAAGTTATTTTTATCAGTTGCTGGGAAGATTAATTTCTTGTTACAGAGCTACATTTTTCAGAAACTTTCTKTATGGAACAACAGTTTGCACTGCAAATAGATGTATAGATATATAAAAATTCATCTGCTTGCACTAAACAATATGAGACTAATGTTTAAAAATCACTTTAAAAGGCTAGGCAGAGACTTTTTTTTCTCCTTAAATGGGGAAAATTCACCCTTCACTTGAAAGGAATGTATTATCTCACTAGACAACATGAAAATGTATTGTGGGAGAGCAGCGAGTAATGTTTACATGTAATTTTTCTTACCAGATTTGGGCTGCAAATGCAGGAGTAGTTGCTAGCCCTCCCACTGACCTCATCTGGAAGAACCAGAATTCTTGGGGCACTGGTGAAGATGTCAAAGTTGTACTGAAAAATTCTCAGGGAGAGGTAAAACAGCTAAGATGTATTTAATTCTGTTTTCATTGACTGTGTTGCTATCCCAGTTTCTCCCCCAGTAAAGGTGAAGGCAGAACCATTGTCAGGGCTTTGAATATGATTTTAAGTTGACTTCCCAGGAAGAGTGGTCTTGTGCTGTTCACTAAGTTTATTTTCTTTTTGCTTTGCAACTAAGTATACTTCGTCCTGTCTTCAGAGACCTAACTGTAATTTAGGGTTGCAGTATTTTGAAGCTTTTCTTTTTTTTTTTTTTTTTCCCCTTCCTTTTATATTGACTATAAGGAATTAAAGAATGATTTGCTTAGGCATTCCCTTGATGCCATGAATGGGACTGTGTCTTGAAGTATGCTTTGAGGGTTAAAGGTGTTTATATGCTTTTCAGTGATTCTTCTGTCTCTTAAGTTGTGTTTCATATAAACTTTGTTTGTAGAGCACGGGGGAAATTACACTGAAATTTGTCCCTAAGAAAGAAGTGTTAGTTGTATTAATTCCAGTAAGATATTCTGAGTTTGGCCAGATATGATATTTAGCAATTGAAATAAAATATTTAAATATAAAACATCCAAAATAAGTTTAAAATATGCTTGGACAGTAGTTGTTAAAAGGACTCCTTTTTAGTTACCTATTTAGCAATTAAGGATTATGAAACCTAGTCGTATACCTTTCATGTATAGTTATTTATAGGCAAAATCAGTTGGAGTGGCTTTCCCAACTGTTAGAACTCCATTCTCAAAATGTAAGGGGATAAATACCATATCACCAGAGGTGTCAAGTATTAAATTTATCTCTGTTGTAGGAGGTTGCTCAGAGAAGCACTGTCTTTAAAACAACCTTACGTGAAGGTGAGGAAGATGAAGCTGAGGAAGAAGCAGTTGAAGCTGTGGAGGAGGAGGACCTGTTCCATCAGCAGGTATTATATTAAATGCAAAATTTTGACCGTGAAGTTAGCCTTCAGAAAAGAAATTAAATATCATAAACAAGTTCTTATAATACAAAATTCAGGATGCTTACGTTGGCTAAAACTTGGTTACATTTTTGATTAGTATGTATCTTAACAAGTCAATTATGCAAAATAATATAGATCGCTACTTAAGCATACATATATAAACAGGCAAAAGATAGAGGGAGTTGGCTCTGCTTTGGAAGGGACTAGTTTTAGTAGCTTTAATGAAATCATAACTTTGTGGAATTTAATGTAGTTGAGAGGAGTTTTTTTCAGTTATGCAGAAGTACAGAAGTGGTTCCAGTTACTCTTCTGATTTCTGGGACTTTGTAGCTTATGTGCATGTCTTTATATTTTAAGATGTTGTGCATGTGTTCCCCACAATAGTTAGCACTTACCTGAACTAATTGGGGTGTTTTTTTTAGTTTGGGATTCTAATTAGAATAATTAAACCTGTGTTTATTTGGCACTCATCTTCCATTACCTATCATGGAAGAAGATATCTAATTTTACTTACTGCAGATTACATGTTGTATTACAGCTTTGGTGCAAACAGACTTTTGAGAACACTAGGCCATACGTATAGCTACTTTTATTAAAAATGTTCAGTGTGTTATTTGAAGGTGCCAACCCCCTTATTCTTTCTATTCATAACAGGGAGAGCAAAGGGGATCTAATAGAAGCTGCGCAATCATGTAAACTCCTCCAGTCACTAACTTCCTCAAAGTATGGTAGTCCTTACCGACAGGACAGAGCCTTCTCAGAAGCACAACATATTTTTGTATTTCCTTTATGTGAATTTTTAAGCTGCAAGTCTGATAGCCTTAATTTCCTTTGTCACTGAAAAGGAAGTTTTGTAAAAGAAATCGTTATCTGTAACTTTCTTGTAAGATGTGAATTATTGAAACAGAACTACGTACTGCTTGAAAAATGACATCTCCCCCCACACAACTTTTATGCCAGTCATTTTTTAAACCTCATTGGAAGGGGAACATGCCACTGTGTTTTGGGGTTTGTTTTTCTTTTTAGATTACACCACTTAGACTAGCCATCTGCTGTTGACCTTTTTATATTTAGGTGCTGTTGGGGAAGGGGAAGACATTTTCAATACTATGAACTTTTTTGTACTGAAGATCTCTCTTTTTTTTTCTACAATGTGATCAAGGTTGCAAAATTTTTTATARAAAAGAGCAGCTTGTTTAAAAAGAACAGAACATAGCCCAGCTGATCATGTAAGTACTCAGAGGATGAAGGATGCAGCAAAACTTGTTTTTATTGGTACTTTCTTCTTTACTTATATTTCTTATTGAGCAAGGGGATTCATGTTAAACGCGTTAGTTGTTTTTAAGGTAGTGTAACCAGCTTAAATTTCCTTAAGTGTTATTAACAAATAAAATGCTGTTTTGATATGGATTGTCTTGTTTGTTTATAATTTCTAAGAGCTCAAAAATACATCTTTTAGGAATCTAGACCAGATTTGTGTGGAATATAACTGTAATTTTCAACAGTGTGGAAAATCTTTCTCTCCTTTCTGCATTCATCTAATCTCTAGAAAAAGCTTTTAAATAAACTATCTCTGTAGTATAGACATTTCAAGTAGGAAGTTTTTGGAACCAATCTGAAAATTGGATGAGTACTGATTATTTAGAATCTGGAAAAGTATCTCTGTAAATGAACTCATGACACTTGGCATGTAAAGATTTCTCTTAAAAGTGTCAGTGATCTACCTTGACAGGTGGAAAACAGCTCTTCAGAGCATTATCTGATTTTCTATCCTGCATAACTATCTGCCTTGCTTTTGCTTGTACATCAGTTCTTACTATACTGCCCTCTGCTACCAATATAAGTACCAGGCTGAGCCGTTTGAGCACTGYCCAGTGGAGCTCTAGAAATGCTGCACGTATACTTCAAGCTAAAGGGGAAGGTAACTTTGTTACATAAAAACTAGACTTTTTTTTTTTCTTTTTTGTACTTACCTCTCTCAACTTAGGTAGTTTTCCATTCTAACCATGTATGTACCTGTGGMATTAAGATTTGTACCAGCACAGGATGAGGGGGCTGGCTTTAGGGTTATGTCAGTGGAGCAAGGATTAGTGAGATTGCTTCTTCTGGCAATAATGCTGGTTTAAAWAATTGTGTTAAACCAAAGTGTTGACACTTGATTCATTTTCTTACATTATTTGTTTGTGTAGTGTAAACGTTGTTTTTTGTTGTCAGAAAGTGTTAATTCCCTTGTTTTGTTGTTGTTAAAACTAACGGCAGAAACTAGTGACGCATTCCAGTAAAGGCTTCATTGAGCCCAGGAAGACTGTCATCACTGATTGGAGGGACTGTTTTGCACATAGCCATTACTTGCAGTCAGTGCTAGCCATTACAGCTGTATCATCACTGTTCTCAGCACTAGAATTTGTAGGGGCTGTTTGTCACTGGAGCATTATGAAAAGTGCTGTGACTATCTCTCAACTGAACATGTAGCTAGGAGCTATCRCCTAGCTCAGAGCTTTTGGATGAGTTGTGTGAATATTTTGGTAAATCAGTACTCTCGTGATGGATGCTGAAGGGGAAAAATGCTTATTTTAGAGAGGTGATCTTGCTGTTGCAAGTATTTCTGTAAACTAGCTGTTAGTAAATATAGTAGATTCTTCTGTGGGGTGCTAATCTTCAGGGTGAAACATTCTACCACAAGATGGAGATCTTGCTATTAAAGTGTTTCTTCTCATGAATGTCTTGGATTTTCCCACAAGCTCCATAATAACTTTTGGAAGTTTCTGCCGTATAGGATTTTTTCCATTCACTGTTCTTCCCATACCAAAGCCCAGAAATGTGTTTTAATTACTGCAGGATAATGTACATTGCCACTGTATCCAGCAGATGCAAATTTGATTTTTTTGGGAATACTAATTCCACCTGCCTGCTCGCACACAACATCTGCACGAAATCTTCCTTCTCCAAGTTGAGAATTACATTCACAATTGAAAATGGACTACTCTGGGTGTCACCATTGCTGCCTTAATAGGTACACCCTTCTGGGTGACAGAAAAAGCAGGATGATGGTTTTGAGAAAGGAGKCTGACCACTGAAAAATAAGCCAATTATCTGTATGGTAATGGTATGCAAAAATGTTTATTTGCTGTTTTCTGAAGATGTTTTTTCAGATAATAAGCCAAGGAAAAAGCAAGCAGTGTGCTAGTTAGCTCTACCAGCTCATTCAGCTTGTGATGAAAGTTTCATTGGGACTTCTTACTACTTTTACTGTAGTATGTGAAGAAGTAAATTCAGGCCTTTCCAGAACTGACACTTCTCCCCAGATAAAAATTATCATGGCAGATGAAAACTCTTTAGTTACTCACTACATGCAGCAAGTAAAACCCTTTGTCAAATATTTGTCTGCTAAAATAAGCTGATTCCTGTCAAAACCAGAGTAACAGCTGTTTTTGATAGTAACTGGTTTGTTTTTTTTTAAAGCCTTGGCCTTGTGTTTTGAACACTTCTGAGTCAAGTTTACATGTTCCTGTCAGCTCATGTTCGGTCAGTGGACGCTCAAGTCGGTGTCTGTTCACAGCAACCTTTAAACTGCATCCTGCGATTACACAGGGCAAGTAGATTAATCAGTTGCAATGTGATGATCTGCAGCTCTGTGCTGCTAGTTCCCTCATGACCTTCCTCCTGCAGCTACATTTGCTGGCATGAGCAGACAGCAAAGGATAGAGATATTAACAGCTGACTATATGTAAATACCCTTCCTGTTCAGTAGGTGTTAATGGATCATTTGTCTAGTTCTGTAAAAGAAACAGTAGTGTTTTAGTATCAGTCATAATCTTCAGATTTTTTTCAAGTATTTCAGCAGAATTTCATTTTGAGTAATTAGTTAAGAGTGTTCTAGAAGTGGAAAATGCTGCTCTGCGAGAAACTCCSAATCTGTGGGTGGCCATGCATTTTGTACTATCTCATAAGTGATGTACGGTATGGGCAAACCAATTTCCTCTATATATTTGTATAAATACAGGGTGTTTTGTGTTCTCTGTGACCTGCTCTGAAGAAAATTATATTTGGTGATACCAGTAAAGGAGCATTTCAATTCCTTGTCTTGAAATACTTGCGTGATGAGTTTCATTTTCCTCAAGTAATCTGTTAATTTTTGGCTCTGAGTTTTCATAGCCAGTAGCTTGGTTGTTTGTTATGAACAGAAGAGATTACTGGAAATCTGACTCTCTTCCCTAATAAAAAGCAACACAGATTTTCTGTGTAATGTTAAGCATCGTTTTTTGAAGATGGTGTGTTTTGGTGGTCTTTTTAACGGAAAACAGTAGATTGCCAATGTACATTGACTTTTTTTAGCAAGTTTTATTGTAAAAATATCTTGTACAATTATGTTAGGGTTGATTCTGTATCATTTAATATCCAAGGGAGGTAGAACTGTTCTGTAGCATAGCCAAAATGAGGCCTAGGAGACTGACATTAAGAAATTGGTAAGATTTTGAAGCAAACACTCAACTTTGCAGCTGTTTGAGAGATGTAACTGTTTTGACTTTGAAGACACTTTCTTGYTGATCTCTCTGAAAACCAGGGTAATGAGAAATATGTTGGGAGCGGGGCAGGGGGGTTGCCATCAGCTCTGTCACATAGCACAAGTGCTGCGGGCTTGCTGGCTCCAAAAGCTCCTTAGGGACTTAAAGCAGCAGCTCCCAGTTGTAAATTTTGCAMATCCTAGTGCTCTTTAAAGGTCTTTAGGATGCTTTTCAATGCCATGAACCAGTATTTGTCAATAAAATAAGCAATACTCCATTCTGCCTGTAGGGAAAATGTTTGCTTAATTAAGCAGCTGTGTTAAGTAGAGCTTGTTCTCATAAACAGTAACAGAGGAGGAGTTTATTTTTTTWWAAACTTTCATTTTAAAGGGAGGGTTTTAAACTGTTAAACACTTAGGCAGATCTTTCCTGTCTTACTCTGGTTGCAGCACTGTGGTCACCTTTGTGGCATCAATGCCAGTTATGTATGTGGGTCGTGACTCCCTTCATCATCACTAAGATGTCAAATCACCCAGCGTGGTTTTCTACTATGCAACTGGTGCAAAGCTATTTTTAATAAAATCTAAATGATAGTTTGAAATCTCCATCTGACAGAATTATAGAGTGGAGCTGAGAGCTGTTACTACTACTCATGCAGTGACCCCCTGCTAGTGGAAGGGAGGTCTGTTGTAATCTCTGAAAATACACCTAGGTTCTTACATGTGGATTTCTTGCTTCCATGGTACCAGTTCCATTTTTCCCATTTTCCAAGGGAGAAGGTGCTGCTGCTTCCACTTTTTCACTCTTTTTACTGCACTAGAGATTTAAGGAACCAACTAGCCTTCTGATTTTGTATCTCTTTCCCATTCACCACCACTCTTTCTATCAAATACCACAGTTTTACCCCTCATTTGATTTTTTTCTTGCTTGTTGTTTTACATGATGAAGCTGCAAGGGAAAAGGTTGTGCAGATGTGAAATTTKTTTTCATTTTGCATTACTCGTGTCATTAATGCTGACTTATAAGGGTCTCTGTGTGACCAACTCTGAGCACACAGGTTGATAATCTGTACCATTAGCAGCATGTGAAAGAAAGGAACAGAAATGTTTAACTTGTACTTCTCAGAAGGCCTTTTTTCATTTCTTTCTTCAGGATTTTCAGTTCCAGATATTGCATGCTATCTTTCTGTAGCATTTCTTATGTGGAAAAAGAATGTAGATGTCAAGACAGATGCATAAGAAGAAAGAATACGGGAGGAGTGAGTTTAGAAAATAAAAGTTCTCCCATTTTTTCACTAGTTAACTTACCTTTGCTTATCTGGGAAATCTTTAACAAAGGGTAACAAAGATGTCATTGTCCTGCCAGGAATTTGCTTGCTGTAGCTAGTGCTGCAGTTGTTTCTTTCATCTATTCAGAAGGAGGGGAAAGAAAAACAGAAAAAGCCTGCTGTTTCTTTTACAGCTTCTTAGTTGTAAAATTACTAACCCAAATTTGGATCTGGTAAAGCAATAATAATCATGGCTGGTGGAAGGAAAAGCAATGCTAATCTGGAGGAACCTTAATTTGGCATAGTAGCAGCAGTAAGACATCAGCATCACCCATCTTCCTGTCCTTGTGTTTCAGAAAAAAACAGGAGTGTTAGGAATGCTGCTTTTTTTCATGGGTATAATGCAAAAAGGTAGGTGTGTGCAAAAAGTGCCAGAGCTATCCCAGAAAATGCATGGGAGGCTGTTGCCGGTGGCTTCAGCAGGCAGTTCTGCCGAGTGGGGGAGCGAGAGCAGGGAGGTACCTGCTTTGCTGGGCTGTATTTTCCACCTGTCTGCTTCAGGGTGCCGCCTTCTGCATCTGCATGATAAGCAGAAATAAAATGGGAACCAACAGAGCACTTGGGCCGAGTGACCTGCTAACGTATGCACTAGATGACTTGCAACATGACTGGAACACTGGCTCCTTGTTAATCCTTGAATTCTGTTATCTTGATTATTTTTTTTTCTCCATGAAACAGAACCAGGAATGGCTCTGACTCAACTACAATATTTCTTCCATGACACACAGCTTTTGGGGATGGAGAAATAGCAATGGGATGTTAAAAGAAACTTCCCTAAAGCAAACATGTAGGGTTTAGGGAAGCAAACAAAAGGGTTGGCTTCTGGGCTGACAGTGTTCTGACCCAGCTAGACATGCTTTAGCTCTGGGCTAGCAGATTTTCTTTTAACCTGGGCATCTCTGCTGATGTACATTTCCTTTTTCCTCCATCCAGAGAGCTGCTTTTCTTTGGAAAGAGGATAAAAAGGCTCTGCAGGGTTTAGGCCATCACAAAGCTTGTGATGTCTTCAGATATCCAGGTCTTCAGGTTTCTGTTGCTGCACTTTTGTTCTGGAAGAGAAAGAAGCAGGTGGCTCCAGTTGGGATCCGACCAACTCTGGGCCTTGCAGGTGTTACAGTGAGCGCAGGCTGTGAGGCGCCYGGCTTTCCTGCACAGCAGCTGACGTTGCCTCGCAGCGAAAATGGGTTCGGTGTCTGAACAAAGCGCCTGTTGCCCCGTGGAGATGGTTCATTCCTGCCGCCCCCGGGGAACTCGCGGCTCCAGGGAGTATGGTTATGTTATCCGTGTTGGGTGCCACGGGACTGAGCCTGTATTACCCATATTACCTTTACCTGTCCAAATTATAAATCATTACCCTTGTTGCTCTGAGCTGCTTGTTTTGCTCTGAGCTGCTTGTTGCTTCTGTTTTCATGGTTCCTCCACACTTTGGGAAACACAGTACATGGTGTCATAATTATCTACTCCAGAGGGGAGAAAAAAGTGTGTGAATGCATGCACACACACAGATTTTATATATATATATATCTTTGTATGTATATATGTAGTATGTACTGGAAGAGGCTACGTGACACCTGCTGGTTTTAGCAACATTTGTTGATAGAATTTGTATCGTATAAAAAGAGTCCATGTCTCTTGACAGCCAAAAGCAGTGAATGAAGGGGAAACAGATAATGCCACCTGGAAATAAAATTGAATTTTGTCACAATAGCAGGCTGTGTTGTACATTTTTAAAGAGTCTTGGTCTCAGTGCTACAATGAAAGGTCAGGGCTTATGTGTGCACAGCTAAATCTACCTGTCTTGCTGAAACTTCAGCAGCTTTAAAGTGATGCTAATTATAATGCAAGGCATTAAATAATAATTATAATGCAGTTGTTTCCTAAGACATGTCTGGTGATTCCCCTTCATGATGTATGCAGAGGTTGCCTTGCAAAATTAATTTATACAATTAGGGTTAAATTCTGCTTGACAAAAGGAAAGGAGTGAATTGGCCAAGTCCCAATTCACAGCAGTAGGGCTTCAGTGCAGAATGGGCTGCTTAGTACGATACATCTGTCATACTTTTTTTCCCCTCTTTTTTCCCTGAATATTACTTAATAAATTCCTCTGGGGCAGGAAGATCATTGTAACCTGCAACCTGTAACCTCGCACATGGCTGGGGAGTTTTCCTAATGGACTTTTCCTACCAAGCAAGAAACAGGAGACTATTTTCCAATCACTTTATAATGTTTAAAAAATATGCCAATTTGTAGAACTTGTCCATTAAAAGAGGTATTTTAATAGTCCAAGATAACAATATAAAAGGTTCTTAAAACTGTATGTGTGCATATATAAAAGGTCATCCCTGTGATTCAGGGGGAAAAAAAAACTCCTTGTTGCTATCTAAAGAAAACACTGTAGTGGAAGTAAATGATGAACAAAAAGCACTTTTCCCACCTGTTTTGCATTGTTAATTACCATAGTTTTAATATTTTTAAACAATAATAAAAAAGTCTGCATCGTTCGTGATGCAAGTATTGACAGGAGTTTGTAGAATTCCATACAGTATCTGCTAAATAAACACGTTTGGCAGCTTAGCAAATATCATATGATTGCAGCATCCATGATTTGAATTAAAACAGTGATTTTCATTTTTTCTTATTTCATTTTTTTCCCCTTTTCACTCCTCAAAGAGTCYGTAGGCGGCGCAACAGGCGGCGCGAGGGGCCCCGCTCACACGATGGTCTCCTTGGAGTTCCTCTTGAGCGGCCGCGGGCCCCGCGGCGCCTGCGTCGCGGCGGCGCCGCCGCCCGCCCTGGGCACCAGCAGGACCACGCGCTGGTTGCTGCGGCGCCACTCGCTGTAGAGCCGGCAGTGGTAGCGGAACGACACCTGCGGGGACACGACACGCGGCGCCCTCAGCGCGGCTGCTCCCCACGCGCCCACGGCGGCCACTGTGAGGGGAGGCCGCACCTGGAGAACTGGGGGCAGCTCTGGGCTCCCCAGGACAAGAGGGAAGTGGAGCTGCTGGAGAGGGTGCAGGGGAGGGCAACAAAGATGATTAAGGGACTGGAGCTTCTCTCCTATGAGGACAGACCTAGTGAGTTGGGCCTGTTTAGCTTGGAGAAGAGAAGGCTGAGAGGGGATCTGATTAATATGTATAAATACATGAAGGGGGAACGYAGGAAGGAAGGGACCAAGCTATTTTCAATGGTGGCCGGTGATAGGACAAGGGGCAATGGGTACAAGTTGAAACCCAGGCAGCTCCATCTTCATGAGAGGAAGAACTTCTTTACTGTGAGGATGACAAAACCCTGGCACAGGCTGCCCAGGGAGGCTGTGGAGTCTCCTTCTCTGGAGRTCTTCCCAACCCGCCTGGATGCCACCCTGTGCCCTGTGCTCCGGGTGCCCCTGCTGGAGCAGGGGGTTGGACTAGATGGTCTCTAGAGGTCCCTTCCAACCTCAACCACTTTGTGACTCTGATTCCGAGAGAGGCTGCTACCCCAGCCTCCTGCTGCTGCCCACTGCTCCTTCGCTCCTTGTGGCGGGAGGCACCGTCCGTGCTGATGTCTTTGCCCGCCACGCGGCCGGGCGAGCCCCCAGCATYATCACACTGCGAGCTGCTACACATAACGCAATGGGATCCATGGGGAARGCAGGCGGGGAGCTCCAAGACTCCGCGGTGCTTATATCAAAAAGGGGAAAAAAGAATAGTGACAGACGCGCTTATACCTTGGGATGTCTTACTGCTGAACGCATCAATCTCCTTCATGGAAATGCAACAAGGTGAACATCAGCCATCTGCTAAGGGTTGCTTYACTACCGCAACCCCCCAGCTCAGCTTGAGGTATATACCTGTTTTCTTTTACTGAATCTCTATGTAGCTTGCCTGCCCTTAAAGAGGGGAACCTACAGAGCTGCTGTTCATGAAACTGTTGCCCATTCAGAGAGACCAATCACTTTGCCTCCCTTCCATCCCCAAGGAACAAGTGCTCTCCCTCCTTCCATCCTCAAAGAACAAGCTGGAGCTCCTGGTGAGAAGCCCTCCCTACTGCACAGAGCCCGTCTCCACCTGGCCCCTTGTCCCCTGCACACCAGCACGGCAGGGACCGCGGCCCTCCTGGCCTGTTCTGTGAATTCCCTGGGGCAACTCGTTGTTTTTAACCAGCTCCTGCTTTCTGCAGGAAGCCCGTTGTGTGTGCTCCAGCCCCCACATCGGTCCTGCAGAAGTCAGAATTACACTGGTTGCAAGTTCAGTTCAATGGAAAGCGGAGCTTTGGGTTTGGAAGAAACTCAAGGTGTTTGGGGCCCGAAGCTTTGTTTACTGTGAATACCTGTGGATTAGTGTGGGGTTTTATTGTTGGTGTTTTTTTTTTTTTTTTTTTTTTTTTTTTTTTTATGTAGGTGAAATATAATAATAAATGCACAGAAAAAGCAATAGTATGTTAGGGAGAACTTGGCTGTTTTATGGGAAGTGATAAAATAGCCTCTTTGTTAAAAATAGCATGTCTCCTATTTTCTGCTCACTGGGGCATCGTGGTGTGTAAAAAACTCACATGCTAGCTAGTACCTTCAGAGAACATTACCTGAYTTATTGGAAGTAAAATGAAACTCTAGTTTTCTTACTTTTCCCAGTACCTAAAAGAGCATTATATCMCATTATGTGCAATGGCTCCCTCAGCCCTGCATATATCCCCTGTACAGCCTCCTCCAGGCTGTGCAGGATCCCCCAGTCCCCTTGAAACGGGAATGTATTGCAGCATCGAAGGCTGAGTGCGCCAGCGGGATGAGCACCTCTGCTCTGCCCCGAAACTGCCTCCTCACGAACGGGGGCTTTGATCTGCCCAGGCCTGGCCCTTCCCGGAGCAGCGCCGAGCTCCCTCGGCCCGTCTGCCTCCCGCTGGCCCCAGCGATGGATTAGGCTGGAATCGCATCCTCCATGGAAGGGCGGGAGAGCGGCCGCGTTTCACTTAGACCTGTGTTGGCCAACGTGCCGGGCCTGGCTCCGGCCTGCAGGCCGAGGGCTGCTGCAGGGCACACGGGCGTGCGGCGCCTCGGAGGGCGCCTGGCCTCCGCGCCGGCCTGGCTGGTGAAGGAGCCTCCCCATGGCACACGTGGTGCGTGTGGTCAATAAACCCAGCTGCAGTGTGTGCCCCGCAGGCACTGGACATGGCAGACATGCTGCGTGGCCTCAGCATGGTTTTAAGACGGTCAGGTGTTAAGGAAAGGCTGTTCGAGCCACCCTGAGGCCCTGACGGCCACATCTCCACGCTGAGTGCCCTGGAAAACCCGAGTGCTGCCTCACTGCTGGGGTAAACAGCCCCCCTGTTAACTGCRAAGTGAGGGTGATGTTTATGAAAAATGAAGCAGAAAAGCAAGCAAACCAAAAACCAACAACCACCTCTAAATACCTCCCCATTTGCAGGAGGCTGAGGCAAGAATTCTCAACTTTCACTTTKTTGTGTGCACTACTAAAGTAAACCCAAAGTCCTCCAGAGATGAGACTGAGTTTCACCGTTACCAACAGAAGCGGATGCAGCAGCAGCAGCACCCATAGCCACCTTGCAGCTGGTTTGGGTCAGGGGGTTCTCATGCTGGGCAGCCCTGGGGCTGGGGCAGCTCTGCCAGGCCAGGTCCTGGCCTCCTTTTCCGCCAGGCACCGATGCCGACCTGCTGGAAGGGGTCGTGCAGGCCCAGACACACATTACTGCTCATAGCAGCGCCCACGGGAGCTCCCGCACCCGCCTGCCCTCCCCTGCCTCGCTCAGCCTCACGCCTGGCGCAGCTTGGGGGTTTCCCTTCTCCACATTACTCTCTGGCTCCTTCCTGCAATCACAGCTCTCTGGGACTGGGGAGCCGCAGACCCCAAAGGCCAGCTGACTTTCTGGACTTCCAAAGAGCTAACTGGTGTGGAAGCCAGAGGCATCTTGCAGATGCAATGTAAAAATTAGGATGGGCTGTAACTACAGGTGACAGTGGCCATGCGACGGTGCCCCCACTGCACYGTGTCAGAGGTGTGATTTCCTCCCTCCCTTAGTGCAGAGAGCTGAAAAGAAAAACCATACTTACTAGGGTCCAAAAGAGGTAAATAGTGAAGAGTGCGACAGTGAGTGCAATGAGGCCGACGGCTTCCAGCCTACTGCTAAAGTGCAGGTGGTCCACGGCGCCCCGCAGGCAGAGCCAGCCCGAGATGGTGGCGAGCGGCGTTATGAACAGGAAGCACACCATGTCTCCAAAGAGCGTGCGCTTCTCGTGCTGCGGGCCCGGGTTCCTCAGCCACTGCGGAGAAACGGACACAGACGGGAGCAGCGTCAGCCGGATGGGAGCAGCGTGAGCCTGGGCTCCCACATGCCACATGTAGCTGCGACTGCCCCGGCAAACGCTGCCTCGACACGGGGAGGCTTCTCCCTGGAAAGGGCTGCTGCAGCGCTTCCCACCTGCCCTGCATGGGTCGGGCACCCTTCTGCCAGCTGGAAAGCACAGACAGTACCTTTGCTCATGCTTTGCACCCATTTCTAACGTTTCCTTTTTCTGCACATCACAATAATGTCAAAGGCCCTTTTTAACCTGCTTTCAGCCACTCCTTTGCAAGCGGCTTTGAATGCATGCACGGCTACTTGTATTACGAGGGTGTCAATCCTGCAGACCAGGGTGTCTGCACATCAGCTGCTGAAGTGGCGGCTGATTGAGCAGCTACAGCCAGCACACACACACAGGAACGTATAGAGCAGAGGGGAAAGCTGCTCAACCTGCAACAGTGCACCGAGGCCTTTTAATATAAAACCTCATCATTCAAGTCAATATTTAAACAGGAGAGCTACCAAGCCAGGCCACTTTTGCCAATGCACGCTGTAGGAGTCAGTCAAAACCCCGCTTTGTAGCTGCTGCAACATCGTTTGGTTTTATTTTTTCCTGCAGCCAGTACTGCCCAGGACTGCAGGTATTTCTGGGAGCTGGGAGCCCAGGCCAGCCTGTGGCCATACGTGGTTCTCCAGCAAGTGAGGACACGGGATGCGGGCTGAGGCATCTGCCTGGCACTTCCCAGCAGGAGGCAAGGCCAGGAGCAAGCAGGGCCGCGCTCGCCCTGCTGCCGTCTGCTTGTCCTGGTGGGCAGCAGAAAGCAAAGCTGGGGCAACCCCATGCCCGGGGCACCCCGGCACGGCTCCCGCAGCCCCGGCAGGAGCACCCTGCTGTGCCGTGGAGCACTTGTGTTTGCAAGGCAGCCTGTGGCAGCCGGGGCCTCCCACGCATGGCGGGAGCTGCTCCCACCCGCTCGCTCCTCCCAGCGAGCGATGGGTCTTTCTTCCAGCCCCCAGAGTATGGATGGTGAGGCCAGCTCCATCCCTTCCTCCCTACAGCATGGCAGGGACAACCAGGGGAAGAGCAGGACTCAACAACTCAAAAAGGGAAGGCGAGCGAAAGAGCCTTGTGCAGGCTGATGAGCATTTCTCATCCAGCCCTCCCAGCCCGCTGCTATTTTCAAAACCTGCCACRTGTTTTTGCACTTCTCCTGCTCTGCTGAAGCAAATACAGCGTTTATCTGTGCATCTGAATCTGAGGTGAAGCACCAGGCAAGTTAGCAAAGCCACCGGGAACAAGCGGTCACTTGTTCCCCTCTGGCACTAGCAGAAGGACAAAATTTGAGCAGACAGGTTTGCTTCTGTCTCCCCCATGGAAATAGTGAATTCTTCATGAGATTCCAGTTCTGGGCTCCCCAGTACAAGAGGGATGTGGAGCTGCTGGAGAGAGTCCAGCGCAGGGCTACGAGGATGATCAGAGGCCTGGAACATCTGCCCTATGAGCAAAGGCTGAGGGAGCTGGGCCTGTTCAGCCTGGAGAAGAGGAGGCTGAGGGGGGACCTGATCAGTGTSTATAAATACCTCAAGGGAGGCAGTGAGGAGGAGGGGGGCGGCCTCTTTTCAGTGGTGGGCAGGGATAGGACTAGAGGAAATRGCYWCAAACTGAAGCATCGGAAGTTCCACAGGAACTTAAGGAAGCATTTCTTCACTGTGAGGGTGACARAGCMCTGGMACAGGCTGCCCAGRGAGGTTGTGGAGTCTCCTTCTYTGGAGATCTTYMAAACCCGCTTGGAYGCAGCCCTGTGCCMCGTGCTCTAGGTGACCCTGCGTGAGCAGGGGGGTTGGACTCGATGACCTCTGAGGTCCCTTCCARCCTTCGGCATTCTATGATTCTATGATTCATGGAGTTTCTGCCAGATTTAATTGCAACATGGTAAACTGCAGCCTAAGATCCATTTTCAGGTATGATTCAGGAATTYAGGAGAACAGAAAAAAGTATTTATAGATGATTTTCAGCAGCATGCAGTCTTTTAAGTTGCTAAAAGTACTTTAAAAACCTCATGCCACTGCAAAGCCACTTTCACAGCTCTGTAACTACTATRAGCCACTGCAAAGCACTTCAGCCAGAGGTGCAGGGCAAGATTGCTGACAAGGGACGTGCAATGTTGGTTTTACACCCTCTCTTCAAGCAGTGGCTTAGCCTCAAGATTACTTAACACATCAGAATATTGGGGTAGAGCTTATACAAAATAAGGAGGCTTGGGTTGCATTGAGATTTGAATTTATTTGCCAAGAGATTTGAATTTATTGTGACTTTGCAGGGAAAGTCACCTGCGCAAGGCTCACACCACTTTCTTTGGGAGATTTTACTCTATTTACTTAAAAACCTTGCCAGGGGTGTGTGCACATCAGTCCCAGCTTGTATTTGGTTGCTTCTAGCTGTGACTGATTGCGACCCTGACCTCGTTCAATTTCCATGAATCCCTGTAATGAGAAACCTCCGGGACAATGAGAGGAACAGAAAGTGCCTGGCAGCTGGGATTATGCTTGTAAAGGTGACTGTCCAAAGGCTTTGCAAAAAGTATTTGTTTAAAAGGTGACCTGCAAGAGAGCTGCTGAGCACCAGCACCTCTCCTGATCTCAGTGGGAACTGCAGGAACCCACCAGTTTCACCATTTAGCCCCTAAAACGCTAAATACCTCCTTGCTAAATACCTCCTTGCTGGGCTGCGCACCCGTGGGCACCATCCCAGCTGCAATGGGGCAGCGAGGGAGGCCCCTGCGGCGCCTCCAGCTCCCTGCGCTGCAGCAAGRCAGGTACTGAGGCGGCCAGGACACAGAACAGAAGAATTAAATAACAGATAAAAAACAAACACTCAAAATCCACTCCACGGTCTAACCTGGAGGCTGGGGAAATTTCATTAGCTAGCTCTGAAATAGAAGTCAAAGCAACGAGTAAGTAATTTCAGTGGCTCTAGGGATTCCGGTCACTGTGTGGACTTTTCTCCCGAAGGAGCACACGGGTATTTCTGAATATATGTATATATGGATAACGTTAGCTTGGCAACAGGTGAGTTTTAGTAACTGTCCGCATATAAATGCAGGGTGAAYGCAGGCAGAGCAAAAATCCTGAGCCACCAGAGAGGATCCAGTCCCAGAGCAGCCTCCTGAGAGGCACTGGGGAGGAAAAGCTCCCCGGAGCTTACACCCTTTTAGGATGGAGCTTGCTTAAATCAGGTAAGGGATTTTGGCACCCTGCATAGGGCAGGAGCAAATGGCGCTGGCGCCTCCGAGGCTCCCATGCTGCACGTGGGGACACAGGTAACGTGCCCAGAAGGATTTGTGGCCAAGCAGAGCTGAGTTTAAATCATTAGCTACTGCGGAAAGGTCAAGTTCAACTTCTGATCTTCATCACAGGTCTTCATCTTCATCTGATCTACATCTGCACCTATTTCAGCTGAACGCAAACTCCAGCGCCCAGGAATTTAAGGTGGATTTGTGACAGTCCCTGGGGGATTTTTACTTTATCCACCAGTTTATCCATCAGTTCACGGATACAGATCAGAATCTGATATAATTCCAACCCAGAGTTTAACCTGCTATTTAAAAGATGCATGTGCCACCAGATCTACAAAACTGCCCCAAATCCCCTTCCACTGTGAATATGCTGAAATGCTTTCTGGACATATATTCCAGATATTTTCAAAAAATATGGAATCTGAGGCCAGGAATCCAAGCAAATGGGCTCAGATTCCTTCCCAGCGTCGGCACCTGCAGAGCRTCTCCCACATGCGGGAGGGAAGAGTCCCGGCATGCCGGCAGGCCTTGGAGAGGCTTCCACAAGGAATTTCTCAAGCCAAAATAAAAAGAGTGGCCAGCGGAGAGCCACTGTAAAAGCAGCTCCGGATTTACGAACTCCAACTCAAAACACTTGGCTCTTGCCAAAGGCCCAATGCTGGTTCGAGCACTCACCTCACGGGTCCAACTCCCATTAGGTGACTCAGAAACTCAGTAAGGTGCGAGTGCACTGTTTTCCAGGTCAAATCACGAGGCTGCTGCCTGTTTCTGCTGGAAAGCCCTTCTTTAATTCTACATATTTTGCTGGGAAAATTGATTTCATGTAACTCTCGCTTGAGTTATTCCATTAGCAAAGGAGATTCTGCAGACTATGAAGAAAATCCCTCATGCTGCTTTTAGTTAAGGCATTTACATAGTTGCCCAGTATGAAATGGGGCAGGCTGATGGTGCAGGAACTGCCTTCCCTACATTTATTTCCCTTTGGACTAAAACCAGCTTATTACACATCAAACTTTTRTCAGTTCATTTCATTTTTTTCATGTCAACAGCTTTGCAGCAATGCTTGATGAAAGCACTTGATAAACCAGCAAAAGAGCCAGCAAATATTGGTGTTTTCTGGCTTCACTCCTGCAGTGACCTATGGGTGCTTTGTGCCTTTCTCCTTAAGAGAGGAAAGGGAGGATTCACATTGGCCATGGTTTTGAGAGCACTTCTCTTGATGAATGACTTCTTTTTAAGATAAACTGTTTACTTACCAAAGAAGAAAACAAAAGCTGAAAATATAGTTTGGATCAAATGCTTTTTTACTTGAAACATTTACTTAAATCTTTTTTTTTTTTTTTTTTTTTTTTAARAAATGGCAGGTTTTGATGCTKTTTGTCTCCATACAATTCCGAACAAAAGCCTGCAGGAATGCTTGTTCTCAGGGCAGTGAAACATTCTGCTTGACTCAGAACTTCTCTAGATTAATGTTTCTTCTTTCAGAAAAAAACAAACATTTGACAGTTCCTTTTCAGCTGCCTTGAAAAAGTATTCATTTGGGGGTTTTCCTCGTTACATTAAAAATTTATCAGTGTTACTGTTTTCCACAGGGCTACTTTTAGAAAGGGCAGAGTGAAGCTGACTGGGATGTCCCCTTCCTTCCCCCGCACAGGGCGGCCTCTTCATAACCAGCCCTGCACTT